TATAAAAGGGAACGGGCAGCCCCCCCAAGGCCACCCAGGCGGGCTCCCCTCCCGGGAGGCTGGGGGGGGGGGAAGGAGCTGAACTCCCAACCTCTGGCACCGCCGCCAGGGAGAGTTGAACCGCTGAGAAGCCCAGCCAGCTGCCGGCAGCGCGTGGTGGCAACCATCTTGTGAGGAAACTTGTTGGGTCTGCCAGCTGCAATTCCCTTCCTGGGTGGGACCAACACCGCCGGACACAATTCCTAATCCTGGGCATCTTGTCCCCCCCCCCGCAGTATAAGAAAAGCGTGACAGGCTGTAAAAGGCTCAACCTCATTCGCTGCAGTTTGCGCGACGTCCGCTTGAAAAGCGCGCAGGGCTATCTCCACGAACCTACTTGGTTTAAAAAAACAACACCAAAAGGTTAAAGGCCTTATTATCTTTGACCACAAGGCGGCCCTGAAAGGGCATCCGGGGCAGCCAGGAGGGCAAACCCTCCCAGGCCACTCAGTCAAGGAGGGGGAATCCTGCCCGCAGGTGGGAAAGAAAACAACACGTCGCGCCACAGAGGGGGGGGCAGGCCCTCTCGGGGGGAAAACCAGGAGAGGATTTCGCCCCTTCCCGACGGACGGGATTTCTCGGCCTCGAGGAAGGGAGCGCGGCTCGCCCTCCGCGTCCCAAGCGCCGTCCTCCGCCTCTTGCAGCCCCCCGCCCCCGCCTCTCGGCTGGGCGGGCCGCTGCGCTCCTCTAGGCCCGGCCCTCTAGGCCCCGCCGCGCCATCTCCGCCCGCCCGCCCGCCAGGGAGCAGGGCCCCGCTGGGGGAAAGGCGACCGACGGGCTTCTCGGAGGGCAGCGAGAAATGGCTGCCTGGAGGGGCTGAAGGCGAGGGCGCCAGGCGAGGGCAGGAAGGAGCCCCAGACCCGCTTCCCGAGGGGGGTGTCTCGCCCTCCGCACGGGGCTCGGCCATGAGGCTCCTCCGGGCGCTGCTGAGGAGCGTCTCCCCGGCCACCATCCCTCAACAGGTGGACTTCTACTGCCGCTTCTCCCCGTCGCCCCTTTCCATGAAGCAGTTCCTCGACTTTGGTGAGTGGCTGAGGGGACGCCGTGCCCGTGCCGTGCGCTCTCGGCGGTGCCTGCGCCCCTCGGCCCCCTTCCCTCCGCGCCCTTCTCCCCGAGAGGGGCAGGGAAAGCCGGGCCTGCCGAGGCCACCATCCCTCAACAGGTGGACTTCTACTGCCGCTTCTCCCCGTCGCCCCTTTCCATGAAGCAGTTCCTCGACTTTGGTGAGTGGCTGAGGGGACGCCGTGCCCGTGCCGTGCGCTCTCGGCGGTGCCTGCGCCCCTCGGCCCCCTTCCCTCCGCGCCCTTCTCCCCGAGAGGGGCAGGGAAAGCCGGGCCTGCCGAGGGGGCTCCCCGGGCCGGGCC